GTTCTGCTTTATTACTGCTCCTTTAATTGTGTTTTCAGTTTTTTTTTTTTTTAATAGAGCGCTCAGCAAGTTTTTTCCTTCTACTGCATTCCACTGTAATCTATTTTCTTCTATACGCAATGAGTGAAAAATCTGGTTTCGTGATGGGAATGTTTCATTTTACTCAAAACATACGGTATTTTGTTCAGCCGCAACTCCAGCGTTAGAATTCTTTGTCGTCGACGTAGTACCTCGCGATGGATCTATACTACCTGGATCTATACTACCTGAGCTTGCATATTCGCGTAACTCTCCGTATAAGCGTATACTCTGATGTTATCTAACAAAGGTAATAAATGTCATTTTCAGCTGCAAGCCTCTTCATCCGATATTTTCACGCTCCTCTCAAAGCTCGCAGACAGCTTATTGGAAGCCAATTCCCCTGAATCACAGAGATTTTCTGGGATGCGAGCACAGGTGTAGCAGAGGAACTTCAGGTCCAGGAATTACGAGTGCAGGAGCAGAAGCAACAGTCCGGAACAAAGGTGTCATTTGAAGAAAATGGCAAACAAACGGAAATCGCTGATTTTTAATCGCAGGAAGCAACAAGACATCAGCGAACAACTCGAAGGCATTACGGAAGAGGAAATGATCGAGTATAAGGAAGCATTCCGCTTATTTGATAAGGTATCGCACAAATTTCAGACATTCTCGTTTTCAGTCTGTATCTTCCACAGCTTCCACGGTTCTTTTCAAAAATTCATTCAGCTTTTCGAAAATTCATTTTTTTCCCTCTCTAGCAGCATTTTTGTCGCTGCGGACATTCTCAGACACGACTTCGGAAAACTCACGAAGCACATTTTGTACAAACTGAAGCTGGAAGATTCTCAGCGAAAAATTCCTAGCCTACAACGATATCAGACATCCAGACGATTTTCCGTCTTACCTCCTCCCCATCAAAATTTCCCGGAAGTTGCTATGCTGACCTAACCTTATCCCAGCAAAAAGTTTTTTTTTCCTCATCGTGCAATCGTCGCCCTCCACACTAAACCCAGGCTGGAATGCACCACTATTAATTAACATTTAACTACATAAATTAATTATGCTTAAGTTAAGTTAATTAACATTTAATATACGAATAATTACATAAATTGTATAAATTAAAATTAAATACACAAAATTTACATCAAAATTTAAGCATACTAAAATTTATGCATATATGCACAAATAAATTTGGCTATTTTATAATTCTGGGAGCTAATTTTCTTTCGTACCACACTTTTTCACACTGCAATATTTTGGATGAAATTTTCAATAATTTATACAACTAATTAGAAAAATTCATGTTTTTCAGTGTCAAATACGACACGATATAATGCAAAAAGCATGACATGTTCCTATTTATAACAGAAGCTTGCCATGCTTTTTGGAAATATGATTTTTTGCGTTTCTAAAGAAAATAAACACCCCTTTCTCCTCCCGCCCCCAAACAGAGGGGCGCCCACAATGACAAAGCGGGAAAATAAAATCAGGTCAGCTAAACCGCCTGGTTGACAGTGGATTATTGTGTCAACACCAGAGATACCCGTTAGAGGGATGACGGTCAAATTCTGAAGAGATGATATATGAAAGCAGAAAATATATACATGTATGTGACTTAATGGACCGAGAAACATCCCAATTCAGGGCTCTTTTTTCTATTTTTTATTACTATTACTTACTTTTTACTACAAAATCTTTCAGATTAGTTACCATATTCAGACTACTTACACTAGTTATCATAAATTATAATATAATACAATAAGTGGTGAGCAGGTAGCATACCGCCGGAGAATAGGCGTAAAGCTAAGTTTTTACCAACAATATTATTCCGCAAGAAATGTACAACAGCACTGTAGTTCTCTGTATAATTTTAAGGATGGGAATGGATCAATATCATCGAAGGAGTTAGGCGTTGCGATGAGGTCTTTGGGACAAAACCCGACCGAACAAGAGCTACTGGATATGGTCAATGAAGTGGATATTGACGGTAGTGGTACTATTGATTTTCCGGAATTCTGTCAAATGATGAAACGAATGAATAAGGTTTGCTTTAATAAAGTTCTAAGAAGCCTTCTGTGCCAAAGATTTAGTATGATAAACTGATTTGGTATTAAAACATTTATGTTTTCGCTCTGTGATTACCGCATAATCGCACCGGCAAGTCTGGTTCTTACGAATGGACGGTCAAAAGTTTTGGGGGAAAAA